ATGTGTTCAGGTTCAGGCACAGTGTCTGATGTGTTCAGGTTCAGGCATAGTGTTTGATGTGTTCAGGTTCAGTGTCTGATGTGTTCAGGTTCAGGTACATTGTCTGATGTGTTCAGGTTCAGGCACAGTGTCTGATGTGTTCAGATTCAGGCATAGTGTCTGATGTGTTCAGGTTCAGGTACAGTGTCTGATGTGTTCAGATTCAGGTACAGTGTCTGATGTGTTCAGGTTCAGGGTCTGATGTGTTCAGGTTCAGGCACAGTGTCTGACGTGTTCAGGTTCAGGTACAGTGTCTGATGTGTTCAGGTTCAGGTAGTGTCTGATGTGTTCAGGTTCAGGCACAGTGTCTGATGTGTTCAGGTTCAGTGTTTGATGTGTTCACTTATTACCGGTGGGCATGGTCCCAAACACCTGCGAAAAACAAGGGACCACTGTATATATATACATACATATATATATGGTAAATGGACTGTACTTATATAGCACCTTTCTATCTTATTTCAAGATACTCAAAGCACTTTACCCTACAATCTGTGTCCTCATTTACCCATTCATACAGCACTCTACTAGATCTCTACAAAGCTAATTGAACAAATCATTCTAAAGAGACTAGGGCTGCAACAACAAATCGATAAAAATCGATGATTAAAAGTGTTGGCAACGAATTTCATTATTGATTTGTTGTATCGCGCGATTTAAGCCCCCAGTATACTGCCGCATACATCCATACGCAGAGGTATGCACGTACATACGCAGAGGTACGTGCGTACCCCCCAGCATACCCTCCGTGCAAAGTTCACATTTTTACGACCGCGTACGTGGTGTCACACAACAAACTGCTCAGCGACGGACTGTTCTATTTCGTATAAGCTTCGCCCTGTAAGGCTGTCGCTGATGGGTTTATCCCGATATGCGAAGCATTGCACTGAAAAATTTAGCCCACGCCCACCTGCTGTGTGGGCCCCACCCAGTCCGTATAAGTTACGTTAAGAGCGGGAAATCGGCTCCCATTTTTTCTTCAGCAAGCTAATAGCACTGTCAAAAGAACGAAGAAGGAAAGTTGTAGATGAACAACCTTTGTTAAGAATGCTTGACCCGGCACGTCGACCTCCGGTCGTCCGGTGAGCTCTCCTCCCCGAGGAGAAGCTGACGAGCAGTCTTGTTTCAAGGTAAGCACCGAGGAATATTTCTCAGTGACAGGTCGCTACACGCTGGACAACGCTATCTTGTAATTTTCCTCTTATCGCCGACCCTCGGAGTGAATCGGATGGTTCCTCCGGGACAGGCGGCGCTCAGCTGCAGCCCCCCGCTGCTCATTCCCTTCTAGAGAGTGTAGTGTCGGTGGAGGGGGACTGAGCGAATGCTCACCTCATCTCGCCTCGTTTCGCATCGGCGATCACACCGCTCCCGGCCGACGGCGCCCTCTGGGGTTGCCCAGCATAACCCAGGAGGCGGCTGACATGAAGGGACCCTTTTTAGGTCCCACGCTTTTTCCCGCCAGTTCGGATGATCCGGCGGGAAGGTTGTTTTTACTAGGTTCCATTCCGGCTCACCGTCTTGATCCATCTGGCCTCGTTTTCCCAACAGGATGTCCTATGGGCGAGGCCACAGCCGGTTTTCCTGGTAGATTGGGGGGGCCAGTCTCCACAGTCCGCACCCATCTCCAGAGCAGGGGTTCACCGAGCGGAAAGTCCTTTAGTGCCCCCTGGAGCCGAGCCTGACGGAGGCTTCATTAGAGCAAGATGTCCAGGTGGACCAGCGTCCCGTGCCTCCGGTTAGCGTAACCCAGACGGTGACACCGCTCTCCAACTGAGCTCACCAGCATGCGTTCCAGACGGCTGCAGCGAACAACACGTTACGCTGTTGGCGTACACGTTCAGAGGCAGGAAGAGACGGTGGGCCCTCTGACCTTTGGCTCGCTCCGCTCTCGTAGCGGCTGTTCGCTAACGATGCTATCGGCCCCTGCAGTACGCTCCGTCCGCAGGGCAGCTGATGTCATCCCCAACCGGTGCGCCTCTTTTGCTGTCTGCCGCCCCGTATCGCAGACGGAGAATGAGGTCCCAGAGGTTCTCCTGGCTCATCACTCCACCTTCTTCTAAGGAGAGCTACAGAAGCTTCTGTTGGAGGGCCTTTTCATCAGCAAGAGATCATTTCAAGATGCTCCACGGCTGCACAATGCCTCCCCAGCTCTGCTACGCCAGCCCCTCCCGTCAGACGTTCCCGGCATCCGGAAGTTCAATTTTTCCCGGACTTCGCCAACAGGGGGCCCTCTAGGACAAAAAACAGAGCTCAAGGGAAGATAACCAGGTGTCGGTTTGCTGGAGGTGTGTTGATGACACAAGATGTGGAATAACATCATTTTATGATGAAGTGTCTTTTAGCCAGGCTGTCAGCACGGATGATCTGACAAGCGGCCCCATCACACACACTCATCACGAATGAGCCTTTTAAGGTTGTTTCATTCACTGGGGCGGTGCCAACACGTGCTCGCGCAGCCTTCACCTATAAGGCGCTGCGTTATGAAAGCGCGCACGCAGCTCTCAGCACCCGCCGTTCACGTCAACGTTAACGTGAGACCGCGGTACGAGCCCAGTAACGTATCTCGCTCTCGGTAGGAGCGACACGCGTTTTCATCGCAGTGGTGTCAAACGCGCGCTCCCGCGGCGTCAACAGTTTCACAAGCCTCACAGAAGCTCCGCTCCATCATCCTCAAAGAAGGTTTTCTGAATTAATACTGCAGCTCGTGGAATCACTCAAAAGCTCACGTAATTCGCAGCCAAGAATGAACGTGTTTCTGCAGACTGAGCCCAGTGGTAACCTCGCCCCACCGATGCCGCGCGCCGCTTCCTGACCGCACCAGCATCAAACGCACGCTCCCGCGGCAATCCTGGCTTAAGGCGTCGCATGAATGAGGGCGCGCACACACGACTCTTCAGGGCACGTCGGCTCATACGTGCACCCGCTCCCCGAGCGTTTACACGGAGCAGCTGCACACAAAGTGAGCAAAACACATGAGCTGCGTCCCGCAGCATCAGCAAACGCACAAACGATTTGCATGCTCGGGGGCGCGCACTTTTTCTTTCTCCTTTAGCGCGCACCAGCTCACATCAGCATGCATGTGAGTTTCACAGCATAAACGCGTGCCCGCTTTGTAACTTTATAAACGAGTGGCAAAGAGCGCGCGCTCCAGACGGATAGGCGAACCGTTTTCATCTGGGGGTTCACGCTGCAGTACAGCTCAAACCTGGTGTGGATGAACTCTAATGACGTTTTCTGTCATTTCTAGAACAGATCTCGTCCCCTCTCGCAGAAGCTCAGGAAATTCTGATTTAAATGTAATTTTCCAGAGTCTCAGAAGGAGAGGAAAACACAGGGTTCCTCTCTCGTCACTCCCTGGTCCCAACAAACCGGAAAGATGAGATTTATTCTAGATTTGTCTATTTTGAACTGTGAGAAACACTCCATTAATGCGCCCAAGCCGCTCTGCAGCCGCCGCACAGAGCATGGAGGAGAATTCTGCTTTATCTGGACACCTGCTGCTGCTGAGCAGTTTGTACAGACAGGTGGCAGCAGTGCAACTCACGTGAACCGGTTGAGTGATATCAGCTGTTTCCGTCAGCAGACCTACATCACACATGTCAGATTTCACAGAGGCACACACATTTAACGAGCTGTGGGGGCATTGTGGTTCTCTACACAGCAGTTCATTTAAATGTTTTTGGAGTGTCGCACGGGTTTTTTTTAATGTGATTCAACACTTTGCCTTGAGCTGCAGAATCATCAGGGTTTTGATTCACACAGACAGCAAGTGACTGTTGCATACATAACTGGCAGGAGATGTATGCGCTCAACCCATGTGCCACATTGTGAGACAGATGCTGTGTGGGGCACACCCAATCTGCTCTCCATTGGAGTAGGGTACATCTCATGTATTCTGAACAGGGGGCGGATGTGATGTCCAAAGACGGTCCTTTGCGGCACGGGGACCTGGGACCTTCCACCCAGAGCTATGGCTCAAATGCGGCAAAAATCCTGTGAGCGCCTGTGGACGTGTAGCAACACGAGAGAACGCTCAATGTCAACTATAATTATCATGGAGCCACGGGACGATCCACCGCTGGGGTGGACGTGTCTGCTCACAGCCTGTGGTTGTAATGCTTTTTCACCTCCCTCTCTCCCTCTTGATATCACGGTTTTCTGAACCGAGCTCAGGAGGAGGGACTGACAGCTCCTCTGTCCCAAGTGCGTGAACGCATCATGGTTCCCAGGCCTACGACACTTGTTATCGGGGCGCTCATGGAACCTGCCGTGGAGGGAGGACGCTCTCCTCCAGGCGGGAGGAGCGACCAGGAGTTAATCAGAATAGGCCAGCACCTGTGGTCTGGCTGCTGTGCAGATCTTTTTGAGAGGATGGATCTCTCTC